GAAAGGTAAATGCTGAAGACACACACACTCTCACGAACAGATGCATACACACTAGCTAACAGACACACACATTTACTGACAGAGACACACTCAGCGACAGACATACATACACACTCACTTACAAAACATACACTTTCACTGACAAACACACACTCACTAACAGACATCAAACACACTCAGTAACAGACACACACAGTAACACACTCACTAGCAGACACACACCCAATAACAGACAGACTCACTGACACACACACTAACACAAACACTAACACACACACACACTAACACACAAACACTAACACACACACAAACACACACTAACAGACACATTAACACACACTATCAGACACACTAACACACACACACTAACAGACACACTAACGCACACACTAACAAACACACAAACACACACTAACAAACACACACATTTTTTTTTAAATTTAATCCCCACAGCCTCCTTACCTTTTGGAGTGCTGGGGGGATTCCCTGGGGTCTAGTGGTGCTGCTGGGCGGACTGGCTGTCTGGGTGGCATAGGGATGCCGGCGCCGGAAGATGACATCATCTTCTGGCTCCGGTATCAGTGCGGTGCGCGAGGGAGCTGAAGAGGAAGCACACAGGGGAGAGTGCTCCCTCGCGCGCCGGCCACCCAGACAGCCAGCCCGCCCGCCGGGGTCAGCAGGGCAACCGCGACCCCTGCAACCCTGGTATGTACGCCACTGCCACTGGGATTTTTCACCATTCCTCCTTGCAAAACTGCCCCAGCTCATTCAAGTTGGATGGTTTGAGCTTGTGAACAGCAATCTTTAAGTCTGACCACAGATTTTCTATTGGATTGAGGTCTGGGCTTTGACTAGGCCATTCCAACACATTTATATGTTTCTCCTTAAACCACTCAAGTGTTGCTTTAGCAGTGTGTTTTGGGTCATTGTCCTGCTGGAAGGTGAACCTCCATCCTAGCCTCAAATCACGTACAGCGTGGTACAGGTTTTGCTCAAAAAATCCCTGTATTTAGCATCATCCATCTTTCCCTCAACTCTGACCAGTTTTCCAGTCCCGGCTGCTGAAAAATATCTTGGGTGATGTGATGTGTTGGGTTTGCGCCAGAAATAGCGTTTTCTTTGATGGCTGAAAAGTTAAATTTTAGTCTCATCAGACCAGAGCACCTTCCTCCATACATTTTGTGAGTCTCCCACGTGCCATTTTGTTTTTTGCTGAAAGTAATGGCTTTCTTCTGGCCACTCTGCCATAAAGCCCAACTCTATGGTCTTACTGTCGTCCTATGTACAGATACTCCAGTCTCTGCTGTGGAACTCTGCAGCTCCTCCAGGGTTACCTTAGGTCTCTGTGCTGCCTCTCTGATTAATGCCATCCTTGCCCGGTCTGTGAGTTTTGGTGGGCGGCCGTCACTTGGCAGGTTTGCTGTTGTGCCATGTTCTTTCCATTTGGTTATGATAGATTTGATGGTGCTCCTGGGGATAATCACAGATTTGGATATTTTTTTATAATCTAACCCTGACTTGTACTTCTCAACAACATTGTCCCTTACTTGTTTGGAGAGTTCCTTCATGGCAGTGTTTGGTTAGTGGTGCCTCCTGCTTAGGTGTTGCAGCCTCTGGTGCCTTTCAAAAAAGATGTGTATATGTAATGACAGATCATGTGACACTTAGATTGCACACAGGTGGACATCATTTCACTAATTATGTGACTTCTGAAGGTAATGTATTGTGTATTAATATTGGTTTTGTATTTTATTGTACGCTAATGTAACAATGCAATGATTTGTAGACCCAGGACATACTTGAAAACGAGAGAAATCTCAATGTATCTTTCCTGGTAAAATATTTTATAAATAAATAAATAATTGGTTGCACCAGATCTTTTTATGGTCTTCATAACAAATTGGGTTAATACATATGCCAATTTTCTGTTTTCTATTTCTAAAAAATAGTTTTAGGTATATATTTTTCTCATTTCACTTCACCAACTTAGATTATTGTGTTCTGATGCATCACATAAAATTCAGATTAATAAAACATTGAATTTAAGGTTGTAACTGTCACGTATTCATCCGCGTATAAAAATGTGGTTAATGGCATTTACTGTTCACACAGGAAAAGTTGTGCCGAGCAGCAACCAAATCCACAGAAGGGTTAATGCTGAGCAGCAATTATGCAAATGGGAACCTAGTAACTGCCTTTGGGGTCAAAGGCCGGCTACAGCCTATCAGATCTAGTGGAGTGGTATTTTGGCCCAGTTCTCATCCTGCTCAGTGCCCTGTCGTGGTTTCCCTTGTGGTTGTCCGACAACGCGTTATTTGATTCTGGTAATTCTGGTTATTTGACTTTGGCATTGTTTTTGACTTCCCTGTTTTCTGACTTTTCCTAATTGTTGTGTCTCTTTCTGTTTCCCTTGACCTCGGCTATTCCTGACTATTCTTTGGTACGTTAGTCTGGCCATTCTAAGGTCCGGTATACGTTACCTATCAGTCCTCTGTGTTACACAATTTTACGTGCTGGATCATTCTGTAATTCTGACAGTAACGTAACAAAATGGGTAAAAAGTCAGGGGGGGTGAATACTTTTGAAAGGCACTGTATATATAGTGGACATTGTTTTGGGGATCAGTTCTCCTCAGTATTTAAAATTTGAGATTGTTCATGATAGGGTGGTCATTGTGTTTAAATTTACTGGTGGGTCTGGGCCCAAGCTCAGGGTTGTCAATGTGGACCAGTTAATTTAAAAGCCTGTTATCGAGCTATAGTGCTCAAAAAGAACGACTGTATTCAGGAGGAATGTTACAGGTCCGGGAGATAAAGTAAAATATCAGCCACAAAATCTGTAAATTTACTGGTGTGGGAGCAGCAATTGAATTCCTTTTATGTCTTCCATTTTCTAAAACTTAGTTTTTCTAAAACTGAACTTTCCCCCACTCAAATAGTCATTCATCAATCTCCCTGCAAGTCAACAGGACGTCTGTTACCCCAACTCCTCATGCTCTCTGCCTTGAAGTTACTTCTGACTCAGGTTTAACCTTTTCTCTGCCAGTCTGTCTCCAAATTCTATGACTTCCATCTTAAAAATATTGACCACATTCACCCTTTTTTACTCATGATACAACTAAGACACTTGTTCATGCACTCATAATTTCCTGACTTGACTATTGCAATTCCTTTGGAATTTGCTACCTCGTGCCATCAAATTCTCCCCTAGCCTCCAGTCCTTTAAGAAGTCACTGAAAACCCACCTCTTTAGGAAAGCTTACCATCTTCCTAGGTGATACATCTCTCATTTCAGTGCCCTCCCTGGTTCCCACATCTCAATAGCCCAACTAACTCTCTCTCCTGAACTGTTCAGTTCTTCTACACACCACTTTTACTTGACTGCTGACGCCTTCGATCACCAAATCTCGTTGTCCTTCCCTTCCCAATTAGTAACACAACACCATGTTAAGTGGTTAAGGGCAACGGCCACAGCTTTATTTAAACCAGCATAACCAAATACTGTCAGCTGCTGGTTTTACCCAGCAGACAGGTACACTTTAAACTTCTTCCAGAGTCTCTTCAGCCTGTCCTTCGTCATCAACCAAATTTAGGCTGCGACTCCCCAAGTCCGTCCGATACAAGTATCTTATCCTTCAATCCCAACCACCTCTGACATGCTGTTATTTCTCTTGTGTGTCTCTACCCCTTCCTCATAGAGTGTAAGCTCATTTGAGCAGGGTCTACTTCCCCTCTTGTTTCTGTTATATTCCGTATGTTAACTGCTTGTTGTAGAATATCCCTTTTTTTGTACTTGTAAAGCGCTGCAAAATATGTTGGCACTATATAAATGATAATAACAATCAGTTTTCCCATTGATTTCTATGGAAAATATTATATTCATTGACAAGAGATAAGCAAATCTCATCTACTAGAAACTAGCACTTCATTTTTAATTTTAATTTTATTTTGGTAGTCCAAATTAATTTAAATCAGTTTAATTTATATTCTTCTCTTGTTTGTATTCTTCCTAATGTATTTTTTGTGAGATTAAGTTAAAGGGACTCATTGAAGTAGTCTGGGTGCAATGTTCTATGTCCCTTAACCCTACAGTGGTAATTATTGCAGTTTCTGAGAAACTGCAAAAATTTCCTCTGAGGGTTAACTCCTCCTCTTGTGGCTGTCTACTAGACAGCCACTAGAGGGACTTGCTAAATTGAAAAGGACCTTTGGTCTGTTATCTGACGCTGGACGTCCTTACGCTCTGCATGAGGACCTCCAGCGTCAGATTTTTCCACATAGGAAAGCATTGAATAATTCTTTCCTATGGGGAAATCCTAATGCGAACGCAGTTATTGCAGTGCATGCGCATTAGGTCTCCCACGCCAGGGGACATCAGCGCTGGATTTAGGTAAGTGACTGAAGGGTTTTTAACCCTTTCAGTCCCGCAGGAGGGTGGACGTGAGAGCCACCCTCCTGCGTATCAGAAAAACGGCTTTGTTTTTCTGATACCATAGAATCCCTTTAAAGATATTCATAAATCATCTGTTTTTTCTTTAAGTGAAAATATCCTCATAGTCATGCTCTTAGCTTGTTAAAACTGTTTTTTTTAGATATATATATGTATGTACTTTTTTTTAAAGAGCTCTGTATTAATAGTTATTACAAGATCAAGTTATCTGGTTTGTGCCTTTACCAGTTGTATAAAACAAAATATGATTTCATCAATCCAGGTTTTACAACTAATGGACCAAATTTTCTAAGATGAGATAAACATCTCTTTTGTAATTATATTATATAAGATTATATTTTGTAATTATAATAGCAGGTCTTGCAGTGATTTGAAACAAGGCATTTCAAATACAAGAGGTAAACTTAGCTCATATACAAGAATCCTTTCTAGCCCTATGTGTGTCAAGTAGTGATGTCCTGAACTGTTCGCCGAACGGTTCGCAAACGGTTCGCCACGGACTCATCATTGAGTAAACTTTGACCCTGTACCTCACAGTCAGCAGACACATTCCAGCCAATCAGCAACAGACCCTCCCTCCCAGACCCTCCCACCTCCTGGACAGCTCATTAAGAATGCAGCTTCACAATGGATGCTGTCCAGGAGGTGGGAGGGTCTGGGAGGGAGGGTCTGCTGTCGGCGAACAGTTCGGGGCATCACTAGTGTCAAGTGTAGTACGTGTAGTTAGTTTCATTTTTTTCGTGATACTTTATTCAGCTGCTAGATGGGATTGCTTTTCTGCTAGTTCAGAAGGTGGAGCCTGGTGATGAATTGTTTGGAACAGATATGGAAATCGGGTTCCCCAATACATTGCACCTGTTGCACCTGTGTGGTTGAGGACATCTCCATTTATAAAAGCAGTGAATGGAATACATGACACTTTTATAGAAGGTTCCATCTGGTTAGTTCTGTTCTACAATACATAGGTAGAAACAGCAGACAATTCTGGCTTAATAGTTGTTCAAGTAGCTCTTGAGTTACTGCTGTTGAGTAAGGACTTTGCTGAATGTATGCCTGTATGTTAAATTACCGTATATACTCGAGTATAATCGACCCGAATATAAGCCAAGGCACCTAATTTTTCCACAACAAACTGGGAAAACTTATTGACTCGAGTATAAGCTTAGGGTGAGAAATGCAGCAGCTACTGGTAAATTTCTAAATTAAAATTGATACCAATAAAATTACATTAATTGAGGCGTCAGAAGGTTAAATGTTTTTGAATATTTATTTACAGTGTGTGTATATAATGAATGCAGTGTGTGTGTGTGTTTGTGTAGTCTGTGTGTATATAATGAATGCAGTGTGTGTGTGTGTTTGTGTAGTGTGCGTATATAATTAATGCAGTGTGTGTGTGTGTTTGTGTAGTGTGTGTATATAATGAATGCAGAGTGTGTGTGTTTGTGTAGTGTGTGTATATAATGAATCTAGTGTGTGTGTGTGTTTGTGTAGTGTGTGTATATAATGAATGCAGTGTGTGTTTGTTTGAATGCAGTGTGTATGTATATAATGCAGAGTGTGTGTGTTTGTGTAGTGTAGTAAGAACATGGCAGCTTTATTATTTTGCTTTCTATGTTTTTGACTCTACTGGTTGTTAGATGTTTCTGGCTGCTTTAGAAAATTAAAATGTTTAATAAAGATTTTTAAATTTAGTACATGGGATTACGTTTTAAAGGGTAATTATTTGCCCTTCCATTTCTGACATCATGCCTACAGGTGCCTGTTCTATAGAGGGTGCCTATTTACAGCACTTATAATATTAGGTTTTAGAGCTTAGGTGGCCTGGTGTAGAGAGATGAGTACCAGGAGCCTTAGCCAGTGTCCTCTGTTCTCCGAGCCTCCTATTTTGATAGCACAGCTGCAGGAACAATTATAGAGGTTGTAAAACTCAGTGCTGTCCCAACTTCTCCAGTGTCTGTGTGAGAGGCTGGACAGGAAGTGAAAGGGACAACTCTGCCCACTAGTAACCTCTCACACATGAAATGCCTTGCTAGAGGAGCAAGAGTGAGTGATGGACACTGTGAAAAAGAGCGTGAGTACTTTGCAAATAACCTTTAAAACTCTACATACCTGTAAGCTAAACATTCCTTTTCCCCTAACCCAAAATGTAACCCTATCTAAAACCCAAACAATGCCTTTCCTTAGGCGTTCAAAGCCTAAATCTGAAAAAACAAAACACTTCACCTTAAAGTGGTAGTGTCATTATCCTGAAAAAGATAGAATCTTTATGAAATACTCATTCTGATGGTGTTGGAATTTCAATGAAGCCGTCTTAAAGTGTGATTCGCACAGGTGTCAGGGGAGGAGTGCAACACACTTTACCTGCCCCCCACCACCTCACGGACACCATAACCCCAATTCCTGACATGTCAGTCAGACCCTGAGGAGACAAAATGGAAGAGGCTTCCATTCACTTTAAGCATTCTGGTGCCTTCGATGCTAGAAGTACCCATTTGACATGTGTGTATATATATATCTTTTTTTTCCTAAAACAAAAAACAAACTGTGTTAAGGTAAAAAATGTAAAAGCAATGAAACAGAACCTGTTGAAAAACACTATAATAAAATTATTGCATAGTGACATAGTATTGCAAAAAGTACTCAGCATGTGTTGACGTAAGCTGACAATAGTGTTGAAACATCTAGACCAATTTATTTGCATCATTGTGAAACTATTCTGCCCTATACCTTGCAATGTGTTTTGTTAATTGGCCAATGGAAGTTGCACATTCACTGTGTAAGTACAGCTGCTTAGATGGATGTCCATGTATAGGTAACACATTTAATTCAATTGGCCAAACCTTTGCAGGTAAAATAGTACATTACATCACCCAAAATGCCCTAGATTCATTATAATGCCATTTACCTAAAAAGTTTAATTAAGTCATTATTGGAACAAACATATATTGCATACTTTTATTTAGTAAAATAATAATGCTTGGAATCAATCAATCCGCATCATGGAGCAACATGGAAAAGGTTAATACTTACATTCAATTTCTGTCTTACATGAGCCAGAACATCAGGCCTACTCACAGGAATCCAGGCCCTGTGTCCTCTTGTGCTCTCAGAATCAGCTATTTTTGGCTAAAGCGTTGCATTCTCAGTGGGCAGCTTGCCATCTGCGTTTAAGAAGATACACAAGTTGGTTGTATTTCTCACCTCGTCTCACAGCTGGGAGTTTTGCGGGGTTAGGATTTCCTATGTCAGTGCAGGAGCACATAACCTTACCTCGCAGTAGGTTGACTGAAGACAAAGGATTCTATTGACAAAATATTGGTTTTCAGAGCTACGAACTGTCTAAAGAGACATTGCAGGCACCAACAGGAGACCTTAGAAAAATGTGTAGGTCCACAATTCATTTTTTTACAGGTTTATTTGTTTATTTTTTGTTACAAATAATTAGCTTTTCTTCGTGTCCATCTTTCACAAGCTGCAGCTTTTTTTTTTTTGCAGCAATAGTACAGGTGTACATGACGTCATCATGTGTTGCTGTACTGAGAGTCTTGTGTGCTTCCTCATAGCTTTTCGTGATAGGAATAATACAGCAGTTGCATTCCAGTGTGGTTACGGACATCTCCATTTAAAAAATGAATGAATGCAGTGAATGGACTGCATGGCACCATTATAGATGCTTCACCAATCCTGTAAACCATTGCTATGCAGAATGTGCTGGTTATGAAAAAGTGTCTTGTAGAGAGCTGAGAGCACCAGAATTGTATGAAACAGTTTACGTCATTTCTTGGTCTGGTGAGGGTTTGCAGCAGAATGTGCTCCTCCTGGGTAGAGGGACAGACTAATAAAATCCTAGGCCCCTGGGGAATACATTAGATTCTGCTCGCCTTAGGCTAATATGCATGCATAACAGAAAAAAAGATAGTGCGTAGGCGCTTCACTGAAATTGTGACAGTTCTGTATATGGTGAAAATATACAATAAATGGTGTAACCGGTACCCTAGTGCTTCCCTTGTGCACCAGATTTACATAATACAATAAAAAAAAACAAATACCAGTATATACACCTCCCCAATGTGATCACAACAAAAAATGAGTAATATTACCAATATAGAACTTGACTGTAATGTAAACAGCGTAGAACTTTATTGGGGTATAAACTAAAATAGAAGAAAATAAGACAACAACATAGTGCAAACTGTATGATGATAAATGAGTAATAGATAGGTGTATGACTCTCACTCACATTCTCCAGAGCCGTGCCAGGCTCTGTAAGACAGGCTCAGGGGTGCCAATAACTGGCTAACGATCCAGGTGATCCAAATAGATGAGACTCCAAAAATTAAATGCAAAATATATTTATTAAATAAAAATATATAAAAGTGTATACACTACTGGGCGCTATGGGGGTGGAACCCAAAACAGACAATGATATATATAAAGCAAAATTGGAATTCCACTTACCCCTATCTGTATAGTAGCCCAGAGTGTCAAAAATACACATAAAATAGCAAATAACAGGGGGCGGAGCCTGGCTGTGGAGCTGATCAGACGTGGATAGCACGAGCTCCCGTCTGAAACTACAACTAATGCCAAATAACCCGGCTAACAAGCTACAAACTCCGATAAAATTGCACCACCCATGTAGAGGATGCAAAGGAGATTACAATGAAACCGCAAGTACGACTCTAGGACACCGGGAACTCGAGATATATATCGCTGGGGCCTACTGCGACGCTTAGACCTGCAACCTGGGTAGAAACAAAGGTGAGGGTGAGGCGGCCGATCACCCAGCCCGAGACTCCCTAGAAACGGACCCTAAAGCTGCAGAGGACCACCCACGAGCCTCCCTCTCCCCCCCCCTTGCCGGTGAGGGATATCCCGGCACCAACAGCATACCGAGTGTCTGCCCCAAAGACTACCCGACCCAAGGACCACCGACTCCAATATGGCGGATGCCACGTGCCTATCGGCAGTTACGGGGGACAGCGGAGATCCAGCGACTCACTCTCTGTCCAAACTCGACAAAATATTTGCTGTCTTCTGGGCTAAGATAACAGAGAGACAGCTGCACACTGCTTCAACTATGCTGACCACTCCTGCAAATATACCCCCAGAGACCTCCAGCCCTACGAGTGGACGCAGAACGGTCACTACCGGAGGCTCCGCTAAGAGGCGCAGATGGCGGCACCGGCAGAACAAGCGGCAACGAAGAGCCAGATCTCAACCCCACACTCACCTCCGCTTCAAGCGACCACGACTCCGGACGGGTGCCGAAGCGACCTGCCCAACAGGGAAGCGCCAACCCCCCCAACATGCAAACCTCTATCACCAAGGGTCGGAAGCATGGCTTCTACACGCACGTATGTCCTTGACACCACAGGGGATGGCGACTCCCAGGGGCTACAGGGCGAGCCCAGAGGGGATCGGATGAAGGTGACCGGGACAATTGTCAGGCATATCGCTGGACTTCCCCGACTATGCCCACTGACGCACAAACTGCTTTCTGACTGCTGACTTAACTTAAAGTAACGACCATTAATCTGTTATACCCATACCTTTTGCTGAGGGATCGACAAGTAATATTTTAAGTACTAGCTAACACAATCTAATGGGGCATCCTAAGCATAGTTAAAACTCACTTGATGGCTGTTGGTTTACCTGCATGAGAACACACTAGCAACTATGAATCTTT